GGCAATCCACTCACCTCAGCCTCCCAAAGGTACAGGATTACAGGCTGAGCCACTGAGCCCGGCTGCTTTTTTATTTTTTTAATACAGGGTCTTGCTCTGTAGCCCAAGTTGGAGTGCAGTGGAACCATCATAGTTCACTGCAGCCTAGAAGTCCTGGGCTCAAGTGATCATTCTGCCTCAGCCTCCTAAGTAGCTGGGACTACAGGTGTGTGCAATACCATGCCCGGCTTTTTTTTTTTGAGTTGGAGTCCCACTCTGTTGCCCAGGCTGGAATGCAGTGGCACATTCATGGCTACCGCAGCCTCAACCTGCTGGGCTCAGGCGATCCTTCCACCTCAGCCTTCCAAGTATCTGGAACTTCAGGCACATGCTACCTTGACAGGCTTTTTAATTTTTTGTAGAGACAAAGACTCACCAGGTTGCCCAGGCTGGTCTGGAACCTCTGAGTTTAGGCAATCCTCTTGCCTCGGCCTCCCAAAGTGCTGGGATTACAGGCTTGAGCCACCACGCCTGGCCACCCAGCTCCAATTTATTTTAATTTTTTATAGAGACTAGATCTCACTATGTTGCCTAGGCTGGTCTCCAACTCCTGGTCTTAAGCAATCCTCCTGTCTTGGCCTCCCAAGGTGATGGGATTACAAGCGTGAGCTACCCACACCCAGCCTAACTTTTACCAATCAGTACAGAAGAATTAATATTTGAGTAACCAGTGTAGCGATACTAGTACAAACTGGCTGCCTCTGGGAAGCAGAAGGAAAGGGGACATTGGGGAGTAACTCATGGTGTGGCATGGGGGACCCAGGACATAGGCCTCTACCTTGAGGTCGATACTCCAGGCCAGCGCGTGGCCCTCCCCATCCCACAAGCAGAGCTGTCGGTCATGGCCACATGTGAGGAAGCGGTTCAGGGAGGGGTGTGTGCAGAGCCCCCAGAGCTCATCAGTGTGGCCCTGCAGCAGAACATGGCTGTCACTCCTGCCCCTCCCAGCACCTCTTCCCTTCCTCCTTCCCTGAGCCCTTGGCTTCCCAACCTGGATTACAGGGGAGAAGCCCTGGGCCAGATCTCCCCTCAGCAACGCATTCTTTGTAGTTCCCACCAGCAGCTCAGAACCAGGCCCTTCAGCAATGGCCCGCACAGCCCCAAAGTGTTCAGGAATCTGCAGGATGGAGGAAGAATGTCAAGAGCCCACTGACCATTCCTTTCCCCCCTCCCCCCACCCTCCCTTAACCCCAGCCTAGCCCTCACCTCAGCCTCCTGGAGAGCCACCAAACCAGGCCCCCATTGTACCAGCCGGCGGTCCCGCCCGCCACCACTCAGCACTGTCCCATCCCGCCGGAGACACAGGGCGAAAATGGAACCTTCGTGAGCGTGGGCCTGGGCCACAATCCCATAGGTCTCTGTTGGTAAAACCCCAGGTGGGAAACAGGGGCAGCCTTAGCCTTCACAGTAAAGTAATAACTCCCAGCCATTAAATGCCTACTGAATACGATCTTTGCCTCATACTGCCAACACATCTGGTATTTTCCCCATTTTACAGATAGGACAACTGAGGCTCAAAAAAAAGTGAGGTTAACTATCTAAAGCCCAGACAACTAGTGGCAAAACTGAGATTTGAACCCGAGATCTGGCTGACCCGAAGCCCTCACCCTTTTTCTTTTGCCATGCTGTACCTCCCACCCTTCTAGACCAGTTTCCCACAGAACTATTAACTCTCAAGGTAAAAATATAGGAAAGCCTCTCTTCTCTTCCCCATATTTCCTAAAGAAGGCTACTGGACTTCCCAGATGCCTCCCCCAGTCACATACCTTTGGCCCCACCCCTGCCTGGGGTCCTGGAATCTGAGGGGCTCCGCCCCCATGTGAGAATATTTCCCTCTGAGTCCCCAGTGAGAATGTCTCCATCAGGGAGGAATACAAAGCAAGGAATAAACTTGGGTTTCTTGTATTTCTGATAGGGAGGAAGAACAGAAAACAGAGGTCAAGGGGAAGGGCAAAGATTAAAAGTCACAGGGCCGGTAGGGTTTGGGAGCATTAGGGTATACAATGCTCCGCCCTCCCCATCACCTTCCACTTATCCACACCTTACCCCAAAGACACCCTGTTTCCGGGTAAGGGTTCCGTTCAGAGGAATCCCTGCTCCACCACTCCAATTCCAGAAGTGGACGTGAGATTTCCCACTAGTGACAATGCAGCTGCTGTCACGAGGGCTGAAGCCAACAGCCAGGACTGAGTCATTTGTACTCTGAAAGAAACACACTCAATTCAGCCACCCCAACCCCTAAGCATCCTCATTCGACTTGACTTTCTTTAATTATGCTTCCTGACAGCTGGCCTTCAGAAGTCCAGGAACCCAGGACAACCTTTCTTTCAAGACCCTGGTCCCCAAAGAGCACATGATTAGTCACCATAATACCTAGCAAATTAGCCCTCATGAAGTCAGAACTTTTGTGTTTTTTTTTGAGTTGGAATCTCATGCTGTCACCCAGACTGGAGTGCAATGGCACGCCCCTGGCCACTCTGCAGCCTCGACCTTCTGGGCTCTGGTGATCCTTCCGCCTCAGCCTCCCGAGTAGCTGGAACTACAGGCGCGCGCTACCACACCCGGCTAATTTTTTGATTTATTGTAGAGATGAGGTCTCGAACCCGTGGGCTCAGGCAATCCACTCACCTCAGCCTCCCAAAGCGCGGGATTATAGGCTGAG